TGTATTGAATAACAGGTTATCTGTTCCTCGGCTTCCAGATAATATTATTTGATTTACAGCACAGCTGGACACCTAAGTGGCCAGCGGCATTTGTTTCCTCAGCTGATAGTAATAACTCATAGAATTGCAGTCATCTATTTGTACTTCTGGAAACAGAGGTGTCCAGAGACAGTCTTGATAACAACAAAAGGCAAACCAGGAGCTACTGTTCTGTTATGGCTACTTCACATCTCCCACTGCTGTGGTGCATGGCTTCCTTCACCTCTGCAATAGGTGGTGAAACTTAGGCCATGTTGTAAGGAGAGATGGGAGCCAGGACAGAGCAAGCCCCTGCAGTCATATCCTTGCTCCTCCACCCAGTCATCTCATGTTTTTTCCAAAGTAGGCTGCTAATGGTATGGTAGCTTGCATTTCTACTTCCCTAAAAATCCAGTACCTGGAACGTTCACTATTGAGTTTACTATATGTGTGTTTTAAGATTTGTCTTAACAATGGTTCAAATGCAAAAAAAAAAAAAACAACAAAAAAAAAGAATAGGAATGTAGTACTTCCATTGCTAATAGGCAGACCAACTTCCTAGACTATGCACTGTTTTCTAACCAACAAGCTAGAATTAGATACTATATAATTTGGTACCAAAAGCTACATTTAACTGACATTTAGATTGTAAAGTAAGACCCCCCAAAAATTTGAAAATTCAAAAATTAAGCCTTACACTCTGTTCTTAACCCACAGCGCTAATGGCACAGGAGTCTTGATCAAGCTACTGGGGATGTGAAGTGTGCTTCTAAGAAAAAGTGTAAGTCTGCCCCTTATGTTTGGATCTATTAGCTTATGTTATTTTAATTCACAAAATTAGCCTTAAAAAATCTTTTTCTTTAATCATCCCCTCCCTTTTCCCACTTCGAAAGAAGAAAAAGAACAAAAGTTCATAGGAATATATAAAATATGTATTACATTTATTCTGGAGACTTAAAAGGGCTCCTTTGGAGCCATTTGAGTCTCTCCATCCCAGCCTATCCAGTAAATATACAGTTACATATTTTTAATTTTTTTTGATAAAAATTAATTTTTTTCTACAGTCAATAACCTTTTCATAGGTTTAGATATTGAAAGGCCAAAGGAAACACTACCATAATCTACTCTGGCCTTCTGCATCATATAGACCATAGTACTCTGAAGATACACGACCTCGTGTAGTCAGCTTGATAGACTGTAGCTGATTAACACAACACTATTCAGTTTTGTATTGTTCAAAATACAGATCATGACAATAGCAATATGGAAATGTTTATTAAAAATGTCACGGCACATGAGCAGGGACCCAGATTGCAGACCTGAAAATATTTTCAATTTGATTTTTCTTAATTCTAATAGTTATAGGCCCTTGTAGAGAAATAACTATAAAAAAAAAATGTGTTAGAACTTTTACTAATTTGAGTTCAAAATTAGATCAGGCAACATCACTAATTCACTCTGAAATTCTAAAATTTGAAACTAGCCAATATGTATTTGGAAATTACAGTGAACACAAATGCTCCTACATCTTTTACTTAAAGCGAACCTTTATGACTGCATTGCAACCTACTGAAAAAATGAGTATGTAACAGAAATGTTGACACAATCTTGTTTTGCATGAATAAACATGCCAATGTAATTTTTTTTCTCCCACTCTCTGTATATAGCATATATGCACTTTTAAGTAAAAGAAAATAGATTCAATGATCAACTTATCATGTATTCATGTAACTACCATATACAATATACCAAGCACTAGAATTATCACACTTACCTTCCTGCATAATTACAGTTAAATTCTCCAAACACAAATATTTTTGTTACCTTATCAAAGAACAACAGTCAACATGCTCAGCACTTCATTACTGACAGGGAAATGGTTGCAGAAAAAGTTAAAGCTGCCATGAAAGATATTTCAAAACTGAAATGAAATTTTCAAATGAATAAAAAGACTGATGAGATGCTGTTCTGACTTAAAAAAAAAATTCTCCTACAGTAGAAGAAAAGCAAATACAGAATAAGTAGTTCTCTTATTATTTTCCTCCAACTATCCAAGGGAAAAAAAATTGTAACAGCAACATCAGTAATTTTGTTCTGTCTATAGCAGAACATAAGTTATAGTAGTTTGTTGACAATAAAAATTTCTCAATGGATTAAAATGTGCATGTCTATGTATGTGTGTGTTTGTGTGCTTTTATAAGTATACAAACACACATCTTAATACATATGACAAATAGCATAGAATTTCAAATTCACCAAATGAGCTGATCCACAGCAAAAATCCTGTGCAACTAAATTGTCAATAAATCAATATTTTCAGCAACAGCTGACTTAGATTTACTAAATAATGCTATGGGCTGATACTGGTGCGCTTCTAACCTACAGTATGCAGTACTTCTACAAAACATCTCCAAAATGCCATCTGCATTGCATATTTGTTGTAAAACTATATCTTTTTCTAATCTTCATTTTTGTTAACCATACATATGTATATCTGTTTATGCTCTAAGAAATAAGTTTGCAATGCTTTATAGCATGCCACATATGTTCATAAGTCCTCAAATCAATATAAAATCATGTAATTGAAAAAAAGGCATACTATTTTTCATGCTATGCTCAATATGAATATAAATTCAAGGCAGTCAAGCTATCCATTACCAAAACAATAATAATCATAATATATATGCATATATACCTACACTCTCTAAAAAGTGATCCAGTTATGTGGATTAAGAAACCAGTAAGAAATTGGTTGAACATAGTATAAAAGTCTCATTTAATGTAAAAGCCCATACTGGCCATTTCAAGTATTTTAATACTTTCCTATAACCTTTTCATTAATAACTAGATATTTGTAGAAATAATAATTTTATACTGAAAATTGTATTCAAGTTAAATAAAAATTAACTTCTGCTGTAATTCATTTTTAGAGTGTGCATGTATACATAGCAAAATACCTTTCTACAGACCTATCATAAATATTTTAGTCTATGTCACTTCTCTCCTACTAAAACACTTCAGTTTTTTTCTCAAATTTTGGATCACGTCTATCAGGCCTTTCAAGAAATATAACTCATCTAAGTTCATTTGCAACACCAGATTCCCTTCAGTTTGTGCCAGTTTGCAAGTTAAAGGTCAAAGACATAGGACAGTACACTTTAAGGAAATCCAGACAGTGAAGCTGTTCACAGAAGACAATGTTTTACTTGGTAATGACAGTCAACAGGTCAATAATCAAGTTCAAGGCAAGCTGTTCATTGTTGCAAAAGCTACTCCCCTTGATACCTGGCTTTCATAAAAAACCAAGTGTCTGACTTTTGGGGTGCATCATTCTGACCATCTTTAATAAGTTCACAGCCCAGTGACTGTAAAGCCTATCACTGCAAGAAGCAGCTCCTAAAATCAATAAAGAGGTCTGTCAGTTGCTGACTTTTCTCTAGGAAAAAATTATTGATACAAACCTGCTCTGCAGGTCACATGAAAATGACAATACTGCTGTTAGCACAAATTACACAGAATGACAAAATGTTTTGGTGGTCCCTTGGCTCTGTCAGTTGATACCATGTTTGACTGAAGGCCAGAAATTTTAACCCTTTGAGAACTATGATGAACATGCAAAGGGGTAACACACCAGAGGATACTCATGCACTGTCAGAGTCATCTTCTTAGCTTTCTTTTGAAACTGTAACTCTACCTCTGCAGAGGCAAATCGAATTGTCATGCCACACAGTCTCAAGAGAGAAATCCAAGATGCTTAAGATAAGAGGCTAAGCTATAAAATTGTTGACAGCTCAGAAAAATTCTTGGTAAGTGATACAAATTATTAAAATACGTTTGGTTCCTTTAACAAGAAAGTAGCTGGTAAATATATTTTGTTTTCTATTCATGTTACAAACGCTTTTCTATCAATATTGCAAATAATTAAAAATGCAGTCACAAGAAATCTGTTTCAAAAAACTGATTTTCTTTTGAAACCTGTATTACCCAAACACAATTCTCTAATTTAATGATGACCAAGTTTAACAGACTCTGAAAACTGGACGTAATAGTTCTCAAAGGGTTACACCACCAACATAATACCAGTGTCAAGTCTCTCAATAGTCTGTCTGTTGTTTTAGTTCATTGAAATCCACTTCAGAGACACACTGCTTTTTACCATTCTTTGGAATGAGTGCTCCTGACAGACTTATAAAAGGCCTGGGGTAGTTGGCTTGGTACAGCTTGGGAAAGATAATGTAGGAAAACTAACCAGAAATCAAATCAACCAATAAAAAGGTTCTGCTTGAATATAGTATTGAATATGAGTTTAAAACATTGAGGACATAGCCCAGAGCAGCTGTAAAAAACACAAAATGAATGTATTAAGGCTGTTACTATATTGCAGATATTTTGGCCCCTTGTTTGTTGGAAAATGGCTGTCCGAACAGTCTGAAGTCCTGCGTGTCATCCAAGTCTCCCACCTGACAAAACTGGAAGTAGGAGTATCGGACTTTATCCATAGCAGACAGAAAGCAATCCTCTTTGGAGACAAAGCTGTTTTAGGTCTTCTCACTTTCCTGAAAGTTCCATTATTGGTTGTTGTGTTTCTCTAAAAAAATTTACTTTCAGCAAAAAATTCTTTGAAGGGGAACAGGCCTTAAGGAAAAAATGTAGAAACATTGGAGATATTTTTATTCCTCTTTGTTAGTTAATCCTGATAGTTTATAGGGCATTGAGCGTGCAGAGGGAAGGCCTAGAATTGAATGACAAAGAAAGACAAAGGACTGAAGAAACAGCAGATACTGTGTATCATGGAAGCTTCCCAGCTGAGCGAATTGCCACTCATGCGCAGGACAGGCAACCCCCTGGGTTTTAAAGATCAGCTTTGTTTCAGACTGACAGATGCCCGCTCCTAGCTAGGAAACTGCATAACAGCTCTTGTGTTGAATCTCAAGTTACCACAAACTCCTGGGAGGGAAAGAGAAAAAAACCAAAACCCTACATCACACCCACTCTTGCATAGAGCGTTTGCAGTACAGTATGTGCCGGGGTGTTCCTTTCCTTTTGAACTGGAACACAGTGTAAACCAAGACAAGGAGGCACAAGGCCAGGATGCAGGGAATGACGATGGCTATGGCTTTCACAGTGCTGGCTGTGTTGTCCAGTTTGATGACAATGTCAACATCATCTTGAGGGCTGTGTCGGTCTTTATCTCGGTCTGTTGGTCCATCACAACCCATAAAATCCTTGAGGATGGATCTGGGATAGCCAGGTTCCACCCTGAGCATCTGGTTATTGAATTTCCAGTACTCTTTTCCTTTGTAGAAATATGTGAAGCCTGAGGAAGAAAGTAGCAATTATTCATGGTCATATGAAATCATGTCATCAATATACCACTATGGAAATTACTTGTAACAATTCTTTTGTAATTAAAAAAATTAAAAGATATAGGGAATAGACTTCAGTTAGAAGTCTTTTAAATATTTTTTTTTAAAATTATTTCTTTACTGTCTCTAGAAATCTAATGTTGAGTTTGGGGATTTTGTTTTGGTTTTATTGTTTGTTTGTACTTTCATTGTTCTTTCATTCAGTAAATTGGGATTTTATTTTCTTTCATTACTACAAAAATAATAAAATAATTCCAGAGAATATGGTCTATGAAAAGTCAAGGTTTGGTCAGTTTGTTCATTTACTGGAAAATCAACTAGAATTGGAATCCTCAGGGAGAAGACTTTAAAGCATCACAACCTCTTTGAGATGGTAAGTCTCCTGAAACAAATTGCAATGCTCTTCTCTGCTCTGCTATGCTACGCAGAAATGAGAACTGACCCTCTTCAATCTCACATAGCCTATTTCTGTACTCCAGGAGACTGGATGAAATAACAGAATCTTTCACATGAGATAAAAGGTGTAACTAGATTTAAGTTTTCTGTAAAGACCTGATATTTGTTCATTCAGGCACAATCCAATGTTATTTTTAAACATGCTTAAATGAAGAAAAAGCTTGACTCTTGCCAAAAATCTGTATTATTTTATTATCCCAGCTGAATAATGCCATTGATCTGGCAACACATAAACCTTCAGGATGGGTGAACTTTCACCTACTGTTTATGAACTGAATGGAAATAGCTGGACTTTTTCTTATCTTTGCTTTATACATCTCATATATTCCCTGCAGTATTCAAGGCTACTAAGACAGATTGGGAGCTCTTTTTAGTTAACGATGCTTCCCGAAAAGGCTGGTAACTGCCTATCTGGAGATAACATTATTAACCAACTATTTAATCAACAGTTATTTTCTTTCAATTCTAAAATTAAAAGAAAAGAAATATTTGATAGTCTATTTTGCAGCTGAAACTGTAAGAAGTCTTAATCACCTACTTCCACTTTTCAGAAAAACATATTTCATCATTCTTCTACCTTAGGTATTTCTGTAATTTTAATAGCCTTCCTAGCCAATTAAAAAGTATTTTCCTGTCCTTAATCCCTTGCATTTTTTATTACCTGAAAATATGCTAATAGATTTATAGAAATCTCTAATACAATTTGAAAAAAAAATTACAAAAAGTACTGATCTGTATCAAAAGAGTAGCTAGACTTTTGCAGAAAATGCCTTCTATTCTGGTTGGAATAAAACCTAAAAGATGACTGTAATTCTTTAAATATGATGAAGTTTTAAAATTTTAGCACATATAAAGTTCCTTAAAGCAATCTAGAGTTTAAATTAAAAACATTATCAAATGCAAAATTTAAGTATTTTGAACCACAGTTACCCTATCTTTCGATTCCATATAACAACATGCCTTTCACAAAGTACTGCATATCTTGGCCGTGGATAAATATTTCAAGTATGGAAATTTAATGTACTATCTCTATCAATAGTCTAACACATATCTAGAGACCATATACCGGTGTGACACCTCTAAATCTATATTCATATATATATATGCAGAATACATGTATGTATACTCAGGGGTAGTGGTAAGTCAAAATACAAACTTTAGTTAGCAGTAATTGATATTTTGCAGCAAAAGACCAAATTAAAATTCTTAAAGCAGCAAAGGAATTGCCCAGCTGCTAGAGATCCAACACAATTTTTTTTCAAATAGAGCCCATTTTTCACTGGGAAAATCTGTTTAAACTTTTAAAAAAGTTTAAAAGTTTAAAATTTTCTGCCATTTTTGCTGAGGTAGGAACCAGGATAATAGTCAGTTAGAGCTGAAAGATGGAAGCTACCAGCAGAGAAGGACAATTCTAAGACACTGAGTAGTTTTACTGCTTCTCCTGACAGAGCAAATGACTTCACATAACTGTAGAAAGGGATTTAATCCAATCTGCTAGATGTGTTAAACCTGCTTGGAGAGCTGTTCCTTACAATTTTCTAGATACTAGTCACTGAGCAGTGAGTGCAATACCTGACACAAACAGCACCAAAGGGCGTAACAGTCACTGCTACCTCAAACATACTTATGTAGTAAGTATAAGGCAAAAAAGGCCAGTGGACTAATAAAGTAGACTACCTTTTCTCCTTCTTCTACCTAAAAGTTGTCCCATCATCCACTTCAGCAAGTTAAATTTTCTGTGCTGCTCTCAAGGTAGAAAGAAAGATTTCTCCAATTTGGATGACTTTGTGTGATCTCAGATTCCATGTAGCAAAAAGAAAGGAAATTTCTTTTCCATCCCTTCCTAAGAGTTTCTACCAGAGTGTTAGAAAACAAGTCACAAAATGGGGAGTAGCAGGGCAAGTTTCAAAGGTGTTACCCGTACCTGGACCTTAACAAGCTTTTAGGATACTTAGTTGGGACACTGACTAGAGTAGGAAATTGGTTTTTGTCATCCTTTCCAAAACTCTTGATGCGCAATTACCAAGAATTTTTGCCATCACTGAAGGAATCCCCTGCATAATCAGAGTTATTGTAGGTGTTCATTTGCATAGTTTGCACAACAAAAATATAAAAGAAGGAAAAAAATATACTTTAAAATGAAATGAATTCCCTGAAAGACATGCTCTCAGATGTTTCCTTGTGAAGGTTTATAATAAAAGTACTTTATCAACTCTGCTTCTGTCCAGAGAAACAAAAGCAGTTTCAGGAAAAATTGAATCAATTTCTTTCCAACTGAGCTGTGGTATTTCTTATTTGAATCTGCTTTTATTTCTTTCTCTCCTCATACAAACAACAGCAAAGTTGTGAATTGTTTCTTAAGACTTTATTTTCTTGATTACAGGAAAAATGTCTTAGTGGTCTTCTTGGAAAATTTATGGTGTCATTTTCAGTCCCCTTTCTGCCCTGGGGCCCTTATAGGATTTCTGAGATGCTCAAGAATTTCCTCTTTCCTTTCACCTCCTTCACAATCTCATGTCATGTTTTACTAACCTTCTTATCCAAAGAATCCAGCAGACCATCAAAACCAATAGGGTTAGAAAGAGAAGAGCCTTTTATGTAATCAAAAGTCTTTCATGCCTTAGGAATGGGTGCTCTGCCTCTGCTTTCAAACTCACTGCTCTGAGTGTTAAAGTAAGGTAATTTTTATTTTTAATGGGAGTCACATGTCCCTCAGCTCAGTACAGAATATATATTTATATATATAAATATATTTATATTCATAGATATATGTATATATGTATATTTATGCACAGATATAGATAGATGATAGATACACACACAGATATAGATGTATACACATGTATATATTTCTATAACATCTATGACAATTTCCACATATATGCCTATTTAAAAACGGTTAATTATTGAGTGTGATGTATGCACAATATCATCTTGAATGACCTACTTTCCAGTTAAAAACAACACAGAAAATCCAATCTAGCAAAAAAAAGGCCAAAATACAGACAGGGTTTCTTCTTCTGGATGCAACAGACACAAAACAAGGAAGCAATTAAACATATTTTTGAAAAAAACCCTAGACATTTCCATGGCAAATTACTTAATCAAGTTAGAGGTTGAAATAGGAGACTAAAATGTTTTATAAAAGGAAAGAAAGATTTTTATTTTCTTAATAAAAGGAAATTAAAATATTATGGCAATATATATGTGTACTGTCTTATGAGGTAAACAGAATTAATTCAGAACCTACTAATAAATGAATCATATATGCCATATAACAATTGTCCAACAATGATAGGATGCAACAAATGCATATTTTTATTCCCATCAAAAGGATCTAAAACCTCTGTGCAACTGAGGGCTCTGTTGGCAGCCAGCCACCATCCCCTGGGTAGCAATGAATTCTCCTAAGATGGAGCAGATTTTGGCTGCTCTCATTTGTTTTCTGGTGTATCCAGCTGAGATTCCAGACTCTAGGTATGTGATGATGCATCTTGATAAAGCTAATACATCATACTAAAATCCCTGTTCTCTGCTTTTCTACATCATGCACTTATGGCATCTTCGATTTACATAAATTCATTGGCATATTTCTGCTTAGATAAAGATTTTGCTTCCCTCTGCTAGCTTTTGAAAATGAAAGCAATACCTCCTAAGCTATTTAAAAAGCCAACACCTTGAAAATTCAATAGAGATTTATTGTGTTTATGAAGCTTGTTTTAAGAGGTACTATAATTCAGAAGAGAACAAAACCAAAATGAATTAAGACAAAAGAAAAAAAGAATGGAAATTAAGGTTTATAATACTAAATTTGAAAGTTTTTTCAGCCCTAGGTTAAACACTTAAAAGAGCAGTTAAACACTTAAAAGAGCATTTTCACTAAAGCCAGATCTATAGCAGGAAATACTCTGTTCAGATATCAAGAATTCCTTCACCGCTTAAGCTGAATAGTCAATCATCCCTCTATCTTACATACTACTATAATCACCTACTCTATCTTACATAAGGGATGTAAATAAATCATTAAAATAAGAAAATGTTTGCATACCATTTTCTTTGTGGACAAAGGCTCCCTGAGGAGATTCTGGGATACCTTTCCAAATTGTGATTGGTTTGGGATAACCAGGGTCCATGGATCTCATTTCTTCACTGTACCTCCAGTACCTGAAATATTTTTTAAAGGAAAAAAACCCCACATTTGTAAGATAGCAGATGAGTAACTTTATATTTTCCCCCTCTAACACTTGCTACATTCATTAACCACAAGTAGAAATACTGGATTTCTTTTCTTTGAACATACATTGCAAATAAATCTACTTGCTATTTCATATAAATAGATAGAAGATAAAATATTTTTGCACTTCAACAACTAAACCAGCATGCATCTTACTTATAATCACCACAATTTTGATGCCTAGGGCTTTTTCACAGTGACACAGAGAGATGCAATACATGCAAAAAACCAATGTACATTAATGCTTTTCACAATATTGTAATAATGCAAGTGACAGTAGATTCAAATTAAAATACTGCCAGCAATCTTAATTTGACTCTTCATATGTATGCATTACAGAAGCTTTTAATTTCATTTCATTATCACTAAATAGATGCAGTGTATTATAAAATTCAACCCGTTTGTGTGCCTTTTTGCCAGCCAGCCTTTCTCAAACTTAAAACGCTTCAGCGTGCAATTCTAGTAATCCTGAACATCTGAGAAGTACTTACACTTATGATTTTTTTACACTTTGAGAGGATATTGATAATTTCTTTTTCCTTTTACTGCTGATCAAATTGCTGATCAAATTGCTATGCATACAAGTTGGTTCTAAGAGTACAGCATCTCTAATGTCCTCTGCGTATCCTAACATTTTGGTAGGTCATTTCATATTTTGATTTACTCCATCAATTTAGAGCATAGTATTATCACTATCATTGGTAATCTGGTTACTGCTAAAAACTTGACCCTGTTTCTCATTTGAATTCAGTTTTTAGAAATCCTTGTTATGGTCATCATATATTAAAAAATTCTTATGTGGATGATATTTTATCACTGTGAAGGTACTTAGGCACTCTAATTGATTCACATTTTCATCTTTTTAGAAAAGTGTGGTGGTCTAAACTCCTCAGTATTTCTCCCTGTATGGCATTTCTCTGGCTTTAAACTTTCAATGAAATTAAGAGATGGCAGATTTCCAGTGAGTTAGGCATTGGCAAGTTAGATTAAAAAGACATTTGTATTTATTTTTTCTTTCTTATGCTTAAATTATTTTTATAGCCTCAATTCTTAATCTAGTCACATATACATCAGCTATCAGCCAACAACACAATGCTCTTTATTTGGATACAAAACATCTTTGAAAGTCTACATGCAGAAACAACATGTAGAAGTAGTAAACAAAGCTCTAACTTTAATAGTGTTGAAACCAGTTCTTCCTCATCTTTAAAGTCTAAGTTTCTTGGTCTTTAGTTTGCATTTTTAAAGAAATATATTTTCTTTTTCTCTCCCTCTATTTCAGAACTCTGTTTGTGGCGTCCACAATTTCTCTCCTTTTCCATTTTCTCTTCCAATCTTTTCAACTTTTTAAGCTCCTTCTTTTAATAACCTCTGGTTTCCCACTAGCCCTAAATGACTTTCAAAGATGTCCTCTGTCATGAAAAGTCTTTGAGGACATACTCAGTGCACACTCTGAAATCACAGAACATCTGGGTTTTCATCATTGATGAGAATGATTAGGGATCCTACTAGGGAAGGACTGATCATGACACCACCTCAACAATCTGTGCTGGAGTAGTGAACATGTCTACAGGGTAAGGAAAAGCCCAGTCTTGATTCTATTTGGCATGCCAAATGTTCACAAGCAAACTCCCTAATGATGGTTTGAGCTCTACAGACTATATAAACTTGTTGCTGTATCTCAAAGACTGATAAATAACAGAGGGGAAAAAAATTCCAAGTCCACTTCATAGCTTTAGAAAAAGGGATGTTGAAAAATATTTGCTAAACTATGGTCTATATCTAAGCCTATTTACTTAATGATATCCCAAGCCATTGAATGATTAAGGTTTATGAAGAAAAAACCATTGATTTAAACTCTAAAGTGCATAAAAAGTTGGACCAGACAGGGGCGTAAACAAGGACATTTGTCAAGAAGTTCATGAAACCTATTATTTTCTAGTCCCAAATGACTCAGTTCTGGTAGGATAGGAATAACAGAGGGACTAATGTTTTCAGTAGTCAATTTTTTCCCTTTCATGTGTTTCATACAATTATTTAAAAGAATTATCATGAATATTGAAATAGATAAGTTCAAATTACAACAATAATGTTCCATACATGAGCTGCTTTAGACATATGACTGTTTACTGGTTCAACCTTTAAATCTTCTTACTGGTTTAGCTAATGGGATTTTCTTGTTTGTGTACTTTTTTGCTTGGTCAGTTTATTATTATTTTTATTTTATAGCCAATATTTGATCTCATAAGCAATGCACATTGAGAAACTTACTGTTTAAGGGTTTATTCCTACTGATGGTCAATATCCCATAATGGCTCAATTATCTCTGCAAGGCTTATGTTCAATCTTCTTCTTACATACTCTATTGCATTTATATCCTGCTGAGTTTCATTGTGCTTGTTAGGTCCATGGAGCAACTTTTCTGCCAGCACCTGTTTTCTCTGCTAGTTCTTTTTGTCTTACTATCAATTGTGTTTTAGGAAAGTCCTGAATATAAGTAACTGCCTATGCATGGTACTATAAAAGAACATGGCTGAATAAAGCCTAAAGAAAGTAAAAGTCACAAAAAATTCCTACTGTACATTTTTTTATAATATGTATGTGGAGCTGGAAAATTATTACCTGAAAAAGAATTTGAATTTTTAAAGAATTTTTAAAGAACCATAGGAAGCAAATTATTTAGGCATCTTCTACTCACTATGAAAATTGATTGCTTGAAATGATACCTAGTTTTAAAACATTTCAAAAATTTGACTTAGTTATCTACTTCCCTCACCATGAGTGATGGAGAGCTATATTTTTTTAAATAATAAAAATAGCTTTTACCATAAAATTTGTTGCACATTCTGTAATGCAGTTTTTACAGTACTGCTAAAAAATTGCAAACTATACTGTCCTAAACATAGTCTCTGATGTGCATTAAATTGATTTCTTAAGTGATCCATGAATACTATTAGTGTCTGAGAACACTAAGTACCACACAGTAACAAAAGCAGTCATAGTTTTAATAAGACTAATAGAAATATTACAGTTATTAATAAGGAATAATTTGTCTCTGAGCATACAAAATTTGCACAGCAATACATCAATCAACAAACACAGTACCATACTGAAAACCTGTAAAATCCATCATTCAGACAACTTGCAGTGTTTCAAAAATTAATGAATTCTCCTGACGTCTCTGTAAAGCAGATTAACATTCCTTTCCTTTTTTTATTTACAGGTAAATAAAGATACAGAAACTAAGTGACTAGTACAAGTATTTCAGGAATGGAAAAATCCTTGGATTTAATGGTTTTTTTCCTGTGCTTTTCTTTTTGTTAGGGTGTTGTGTTTATTATTATTATTATTATTATTATTATTATTATTATTATTATTATTATTATTAATAGATATGTGTCCCTATAAGATTTATTTAGAAGTAATTCCAAGAAAATGCTCAAATTCTTCTCTAGCTCCCAGGTTCAGCTCTATGTTCCCTTTTTTACCTTATTATCAAATAGTAGCAAAATCATTTTCACTGACCTTAAAAGCTTTGGATCATGCCTAGCCTGCCTATGTTCTGGAGTTTAGAAATGTGGATAAAGAAAGATGTAAGAGTGTACAGAAACAAATCACTTTGAATATTTAAGTTTAAATTTACCACAACTGTGACTTGCTTGTTGACTTCTAGAACAGAACTTTTCTACTGGATATACTTATACCCACTCTAAGATACTCATAAAATATAGTTTAGATTATAAGACATGAAAACATTACAGCCATCTATACAGGAGGAGTAAATTTCATCTTTTGAGAAATAGAGGAAAAGGTTAACATGTTTAGCTGGTATCCACTGAATTCTTCCCTTGCAGAAATCCTATACCAACCTATCTCCTTTGAAGAAGTAGGTTTTTCCAACATCTTCCCACCAGATTGCTGAATCAATGCCGTGGGAGGGAATTCCACTTCCAAGTGTTATCAAGTCATGAGGATAACCTGGCTGGAGAGTAGTGTCCTTGAAAACCCAGAACTTGTTACCTGTACAAAAGCATATATATACACACATATATGTGTATTAGTCATCAGTACTGTCAGTAGAAATATTAATGCACTCTTAAGAAATAAGAAAGACTCCCAAGGGTCTATAGTAGCAATTCTTCCAAATACAATAAAATTAAAAATGTTCCATCCATGCAGACAATGCAAAATTAAATATGCCTTATGGATACTTGCATTTATAAAGCACCTTTCTTCAAATATGTCTACAGTATATTTTGTTACCAACTATGCAGTGATCAAAAGTAGAGTGAAAATTAAATCACCTTAAGAGACTCTGTGGTTGATAATGTAATACATTTACAGAAAAACTACGCAGCAGTTTCACGTTTGATGAGGAAAGAGAGAATTTTATAAGAAAACCAAGGTAAGAAACACAAAAAAAGTAGAAATGACAATTTTCATAGAGACCAAATACTTTTACTCTGTATTTGTCCCCAAGAATTTAAATTACTTATGAAGGATGTTTCAGAAATAGTCATAGAATTTAATATTAAGACATCTTTTCTTTTAGGGCAGCCTAAAGACAGCAAACTGAGAGTCTGAATCCCAGAGGTGAAAGCCTTTTGTTACTGAAAGTAATGGTGGGTTGCCAGTGGCAGTAAGACTTAAGCTTTGTCTGTAGGTGGCAAATCATTCAAACCCCCCCAGCTGACTTATTCAGTGCTGAAAATACAAGGAAGTTGTATGACTCCAGTTGCTGTTAGCACAGTGTCTACACAAACCTCAGATTACCCAGGTTACTCAGGTCACTGTCTTAAATATGAATGACAGCCTAGGGCTTCCTGGACTGCAGTGCTGAGTGGATGAAACCCCTACTGCTAGAGGGGTAACTGCAGCTACTAGACAAATATTTTGTGTCCACAGAGATCCATGCCTACAGAACTAGCAGCTGCACCAGTGTTTTATAGTTGAGATGCACCCCTGTTTGTGGGAGAGGATGCTTCCTGTGGTCTCTCTTCCAGCTGGATGGCTCACCTCAACAGCCCACAGCTCCACTTTCCAAGCGTGAGTCTTTCCTCTAGCTTCCTGGACAAGTTCTTCTTCACTGAATACTTCCATGATTATCTCACCTGCTTCACCATCTCATATTAAGCTTATAGCTCAATATTTCCTCGATAATGTTGTTGTCCTCCTAGGGACTTCTCAACATACTGTGCCACCTGTCCTATTCTTGCAACTATCTTCTCCTTTTTGCATTTCTGTTTTTTCTAATTCTTCTTCAAAACTCACTTCTCACCTGTGTCTTTTCAGCAGACTTCTCTTTCAAACACACCTTTGGCTGAACAAAGGGAATAAAGATCCCCATATGCTCCCTAGAAATAAGAAAGGGGGAGCATAATTTGCATTTATGTACTTATCTGATGAGCTTGCTTGGATGTCTGTCTTTGTGTTCTGTCCCCTAGACCACAAGGACACCCTTCTCAGGCTAGACTATGGGCTCCATTGTGAAAGAACCATGTGTTTATTCTCTTTTCAAAGCATTACCATCATCATTTTTTCCAAAAAGCATTGCTAGTTTTAGTGATAATGACACTGAAGGAGAAGATACTCTTTGACATCACATGGACACTTGGAGCTAAATCACAAAAAAAACCCAAAACATTCATGAACATCTATATCGAATTCTTCACTTTGGTCTATCCATTGCTATGCATGACAATGATATTTGAAATATAAGGGGAAAAGTTTGAAAACAATTTTTTCTCAAACACATTTGGAAGGAGGATGTAAGAGATAAAATCTTGGCTGTTCACATTAGTTTTTGTACTTGCCTTTTAGGCTAGACAGGTTGTTATACAGATTTAGGAGGTTAAGGTACTGTGCTGTATAAATATTTTATAAGGAAATGTAATATTACCCCAAAGACCTAGGATCAGGTGTATGCCAGAATCATCAAGGGGGAAAATCCAGAGAGCTGTTTTGCAGTTGGTTTTATATTTTAGCTATCCCTCTGTGGTATTAAACATTTGTTTAAAGGAAGGTTTTTTTGATCTCCCTGTTTGTACTGTGGTGATTTAAAGCATGTTTTCATTTTATCAGAATTTTAATTAGGAGAGGGGGTATAGTTTCCATCCCTCCCATGCTGGGTTTCCAGGGTTAATTTTTTATCAGCTTCTCTACAGCTGCTTGTCACCCACTTTCAAGCACAGACACTACAGTTTGCTCAACAGATCCATTTTCTCTCCCCTGCCGGTTGAAGGAAAGAAAGGACTCAAATAATGAGTATGTACAGAGTCATTTGAAGTACTGAAAATGAGACACAGAGATCTATGAAGAGCAGTCAGGGGAAGCTGAGTTCTCTGTTGACCTGGGATTAAGGTCATTGCTAACCTGAGCTTTACCTTTACTGAGATGCCGAATAAAAACTCACTTATAGGGTTTGATAATGACAGAAGTGAGCATCTTCAATCATTCCCTGTCCCTCCTTCCATGTGGTTTATTTTTTGCCAATTCATATGACTGGATACAGAAAGCTTCAGATGTTAATGGCAGTTTCAAATGCAATGATAAGAGAAGTCATGTGTTTTGAACCTTCCTAGTTGGTACTTGTGGTGTGAACAACAGATGGCATCCAGTGAATGATCCTGGGCCAGCTCATTTCTGTTTCAGAAGATCATTCAAAATGACAGCTGTTGCACAGCATTGAGAGGCATATGCTGTGATGTATGTAATGCCAATACTTTTCTCTCTGCCTCACAAGGAATAAAAGTCAAAGCAATTGTTATGAATATATCGTTATCAGCAATACCCAAGGAGGCAAAGTTAACTATCAACAAGATCAGGTCATACCAAAATAAACAATGGTTATGCACAAGCCATTGTAAATAACAGCACCACCGAGCCACGCATTTTTTTGCATATTCAGAGATACTGAAGTAAAAGGAAAGTGTAGATGTGGGAACAGGCATAAGAAACTGAATTCTTCACATAATTTCTTACTAAGAAACAAATTCTAAAAGGAAAGTGTAGATGTGGGAACAGGCATAAGAAACTGAATTCTTCACACAATTTCTTACTAAGAAACAAATTCTTTCTTAGAAAAGACAGAAAAGGTAAATTTATCTGTATTCTGCAGAGACAGGGAAACATTGAGATCTCTAACATATGTAAGCAAAGCCTATTGATGCTAACTAGCAGGAATTTTATTTAACATTTGCTTTAGAAGACATGTTTAGTCTGCTATAACTGTGTTGATTGTTAATGAGAAGTACTGTATACAAGAAATCCAAATGTTCCATCTGGCTGACAGCTTTCACTTCAGTTTTTTGTTTGGTTGGTTTTTAGGAGGTTTTAGGAGGTCTTGTTTTGGATTTTTTTTTTTCTGTCTCTCACCTGGAGGAAAGTGGGTGTCTATTTATCAGAGAATTGATCTGATCAACAGAATTTGATCAGAACCCAATGTTAGGAGAAGCTAAAGCTGAAAACCAGGGCAAAAGATGCCCAACTGTGATGAGAACGAGATAATTTTATTTCTAACATATTTATAAAACTTTAAATGTAGTACAAACTAATGCTACAGTCAGTATGCTTTCATGTAGCTCATATTCCACTTCCACTAATAGTCAATAAAACTTCATTAATTGTGATCATAATGGAAAGAAATATAACAAAATTAGTAATATTTTTATTCTTCCTATAGATAACTAATGCTTCTTTGGAATCAAAACCTGTGCCCTCGGCAGAAACCACCACTGTGTTTATTTTGCAAAGTTGTTTTTTTAAGGTCTCATCGGTAGGTTTGTTATTTTCACAGAGAATAAAGCACCACATGTTTCATGAAGTCTGAAATTTCAGAATGTTTAATCTCTCTGCTTTTATTCCCTCTTGTAAGGTCTAATATAATAAGAAGCAGATTGGCAAGGTCAGAAGCTGAGGGTGAAGCAAGTGATAAAAAAGCAAAAATGTCTTACTTCTTGAAATAATGCTTTGTTAAATATCATCACTGTAGGGAAACAGCTAAGAAGGATGAACCATGGAATTATTTGAAGTCTCTCAAAATCCATCTTTGACATTCTAAAAAAAGTACTGGAAATAAAGGGCATCTGTATTGCTATACTTCACTTAAAATTACAATTTTCTAGACATTCTTTAGACTGTTTAACTTTCTACTGACTAGTGCCAAAAATATCCAGTTTTTAGCAACTAGTTCTTCCTTTATAGAATCTGAATTCTGAATAATTGTGCTTCTGGGTTTTTTGTCCATAATATTTGCGCTTATGGTGTATGTGTAGTGCAAGAAGTGTGTGTGGCATATCATGACTGTGTTAGAGTGGTGAGATGAATTTCCAAATTTTTAAACAATTACATGTAATTTAAATCAGTTAAAAAATTAGCATCTAATCCCAAATGTTAGTTTATTCCAGCCAACATTGCTCTTAATTTTGGTCTTTCAAGGCTGTATCTAGTCTTTTTCTAGAATCCTAAAATTACTATTCATGGTTCCTTTTTCCCCATTCTCTATTTCCCACATCAAGTTTCTGTCATTTCTCTGTTCCATGATCTGACACTATAGTAAATCTATTTTTCAATATAAAACTGTCAGGCCATGGGGTAAGTGCAGTAGAATGTTATGATGGAGGCACTGGTAGTATGAGTTTTACAGCAGCCTTTCTATTGCTACATTTGGTTTACCATAACATTCAACAGCACAGATGGCTTGACAATTTCATTTTTAGCACTATATAAATTCCCAAAGGTACACAGAATGAATTTAACTATTCATGTTTTCTCATTAAAAGAAAAAAAAAAAGGTATCTTTTTGATGCCATCTTATTATCATTCAGCATGGACACTGGTAATGAATAATAACAAGAATTCAAACATCTGTTTTTTATAAGCAGCTATCCACCAGATTGCTCTGTACTTTACGAGTATAATCTGGTCTACTGAGGGCTGATGAGTCCATCTGGCAGGGAACAGGAAGAGCATCTTGGTCATAGGCTTGCCAAGCTGGTAAAGAGGGATTTTAAATAAAGTTGCTGGTGGAGGGAGAACCTCAATCCATCCCACTCCTACCAGTTTGATGTCAGTGCCAGCAAGAGATGTCCACAGCCTGGACAGAGACCACAGGTCAGCAGGAGAGCACCTGAAACAGCACAAAGGAATTCCAGCCACTCCAGTCAGTAAGTTGGTTTCATTGGGTGCTGCAAATTAAATGCCTCTATGGAAACGCATGTATTATCCAGAATAACAACAGGAGTTAGGGATGTGCTTGGAAATTTGTGCACACCTGCAGGGCTGTGATCTTACTGGCATCACAGAGACATAGTGGGATGGCTTCTATGAATGGAACGTTAGAATGGAAGGCTACTGGCTCTTTACAAAGGATGGGCAGGGAAGAGAGCATGGGGGTGTTGCTGTCTGTGTCAGTGACCTGCTGGCATGCATGGAGCTCTGCTGGGATGGATGAGGAACTTGCCACAGAATCAGCTAGGTTGTAAAAGACTTTGGAGATCATCAAGTTCAACCTATGACCTAACACTACCTTATCAACTAAACCATGGCCACATCCAGTCTTTTATTAAACACCTCCAGGGACAATGACTACACCACCTCCCTGGGCAGCCCATTCCAGTGCCCATCCATTCCATCTGTGAGCATGTTTTCTTGCTAATATGTAGCCTATATATTTGGAGTATACTATGGGTCAGCACTAAAGAGAGGGCAGGAATAGGTGGCACTAGAATGTGGGTCAGAGGAGCGCATAGTGACATTAAACCAGTACAAGTTTTCTGCTGGCATTTAATCCATCTTTTCTATTTTATTCTCTGAATAACAGACGTAGACCTTGGCTTAGGTATGTGCTTCGTTAACACATCCGTATGCTAGACTTCAGATTTAAAGTTCCTTCTAGAACTTACTTGTTTGGACCAATTTTAGACTGGTAAAGCACACTACTTGGATAAGGCACTCTACTTGCTCATCATCTTAGCAACAACCAGCTTGTCAATTTCTAGCACCTTTGGAAGGAAGACATGTAACCTTTTCCCAGGAAATTTTGTGACGGAATAGAAGAAATGAGACAATGATCATTTACCTACAGTCTATTTATATATGTTTCTGTAATCATGTTCCACAAGGCAGTTGAGATCCTTGGAACAGGAATTTTCAAGGATACCCACACAGTAGACAGCTGAATTTTTTGATTCTGTAGCAGTGGAAAAACATGAATTACACTGAATTACACTGAAAAAACCCACCAATAGTTAGATATTAAGAGTCATGAAGACATGGCAGAGAAGCAAAAATATTTTTTTAAATTGCACAAGGAAATACGAAGACTTTAGCCTTGGCAAATAAGGGGATAATACAAATGTCATTGGAAAAATAATGGAAGGAACTTTGAAAATAAGTCATATGGAAAAAAAAAAACCTACAGCAGAATATCCAAATATCATATGATATCAGCTAGAAGGCACAAAACTAACTGGTCTGAAATCAGATAGTGTAAGGTGGGGATGATGTGAAAGGAAAACACAATTCTGACTTCTAAAACCACAATCCTGCTGTTCCTGCTTGCTTTAATTAATCTTGATTTAATTTCCCAGAGAAAAAAAATGGAGAAGTTCCCTCCTCCTTCTGTTGTTTGAGAAGTTCCCTCCTCCTTCCCTCCTAACCCATAAACTACAGGATCAGCCTATTCCTCTAAGACCTAACAGGAGCCAGTCAGCAGTGGGTGAAGAGTTAAATAATGATGAAACATATTTCAAGGTCATTGGGAAAGAAAAGAAGCAGCTATAACAATAAGCTTGATCATTTCTGTCTGGAGCTCAGATAATGGATCCCAGCATTATCAAGGCAGAAGTCTGGAATGCCAGGATAGCTACTTTGCTCTTTGTAGAAGCAGTGCAAAGGAATAGCTACAGAATAATATTTTTATCCTTCCATGTCCTACAGACCTAAAAATCAAGGAGTGGGATGGAGATTTGGAGGTACCTTGATCATGATTCCCAACCATATAAACTTTCCAGAGTTAATGACTTGAAGTTTATTTTATGGCAACAGAAGTAAAGCATTTGCTGTATCGAAAGAGAAACTGCACTACATGTAATATCATTTTCCTTATGATTCACACAAAAATACAATTTCATTTTTAGTAAAACATAAACTTCATTGTACCATTATGAAGTGGTTCTGCATGTTATGAAATATATTTTATTTGACATTCCCAAGATTGTTTCCGTAGTCAATGCAATATTCTTACTCCCCGTTAATGACTCCACTTCTAAAAATGAATTAATTTCTTTTTCAATATAAAAACTTTAAAAAATCTACCTTTATTTTGTAATGAGTTTAAAAAATTAATCACTCACAACACTAAATAGCTGAATAATTTTTCACATATTTCTTTTCTATTCAGTTTCTTCTTCTGTCAAATGATTATTTTATAAAACTTACTTTATGCAATTTGAAGATTTTGTCACTAAGTATGCATTGTTAAACATACAATATAAATTTATCACTAAATCTAAATAAGGTACATGTTCAAGAACTTTAATTTTGAAGAGGAGCTGATGTCTGGAGTGAAATTTAAAAAGAATTGTTCACAACAATTTGATCTAAATCACCTATTTTCTGGAGTTTATACTCCTTTAAAAACACTAAATACACATCTATGAAAAAGATTATTTTTCCCCACATGAAGCTCCTAACATCACAAGTCTTAGATGAAACAAATATAATGCAGTACAGTGAGGTATATATAGCAGAGGTGCCATTTTAATATCCAAGAAATTCATTTGTTAAAAGGAAGAGCAAAGAGAACTACACAAAAATGAATAATGGAAATGTGTTCATTGTGTCTTCCTAAAACACATTTAAAAAATTATTTCATAACAGATCACTTCATTTCTATGTCTTATATTTATACTTTCAAATTTTGATTGAATATGTAAGAACAAATGACCCTATATTTTGATATCATAAATTAATGTAATTAATTTTGTAATTATGTAATCACAAATTAAAATGTAATTGCCAAACAAGAAAATGTTAACTTATATACTCATCATTTAGCTACCAATTTGCAATAAGATTTACAAATCATTAGTAAAAATAAACAAGAGGTTTTTCAAGAAATCATCACGCTCAAAAGTGTTACACAAAATCTTACTTTTGTTCTTTCTTACCTTTAAAGAAGACAAAGTTCCCCTCACTGTTTTCATAAACTGCATCAATGCTGGGAGGCAGTCCCCTCCAGAAGTAGGTAATCTGCATGGGGTATCCATCCATCACCCTGTTGTTCCTGACTCGCCAAAACCACTGATCCTGGAAACCAAACATAAACTTCTTACTACATTTATATGTATTTAGCTGCTGTCTTGAAAATACTGAACCTCCTATCATAGCATTTTTAGAGCAGACCTTTTGCTGAGTGGATAAGCACATTGTGTTTGCATTTATCTCACATTACAAATGTTTCAGAACTGGTTTTTGCTGGGGTGGGGATAAGCTACACACGTGAACCAGGTGTTGGGAGCAGACACCCCTCGGCAGAATGTACAGCGTGTTGTATGAGATGATGTAACTCTCTCAAGTTCATTCTTATAAGGGGCTAAATTTAAAATTTTTGGTCTGACTGTAAGTGCTTTTAGGCTGAACCATATGCTTCTGTGAATGCCCAAAATGGGACTACGTACAGACTTTGAAGACCAATTAATTTTGCAGGTCATTTTTTGCAGTGGCTGCTAACAGTGAAAGGTTGATAGATATATGTGTAACATTACTACATGAGTCCAGCAGGAACTATGCTTTGATGACAATTTTACTGTAGTGAAGTTTAACAATCTTTCCAAGTGACATTAAATAGAATGGTTAATATTACAGCCATATATATATATTTATATATAATAGGTGCTAAATCCAGCTAATCCAAAACATGGCACATTAAATCGGTATCAATAAAGATATTATCACTGTACTGCTTCAGAACTGTTTCATTTAAAGTTGAAGGATAGGTTAAGTATTTAACTTACACACATTTGAACATTTTCTAGCATAGTTATTATGTAAAACAACCCCCTTTAACAATAAAGGAAGTGATGTTCTGCCAGAATCTGTCTTAGTTTACATGGAAGTTCTTCCTCTGTGTAATGAACTCAGATTTCACAGTGCATCAAAACCTGTAAAATCATAAAGTCAACAAATATCTTCTAGAGAATGGGTTATGTTTCAGACTTAGTGATTTTTGGAGTATGCCTGCATTATAACAAGACCAATAAAATTATATTTTGCAGATTTGGTATTGAGTTGTATGTCAAACTGTGTTTCATACTTCATATTGCTGACTTGCAGTATAATAGTTAGAATATTCTTATCTATTATTTGTTCAAATTCCTTAGGAAAACCAATAATTTTTCCTGCTATACTATTAAAATCCTAACAATAATACAATTATAGCAAAACTGGAATGTTTGTTTCATTCTGCATATCCCCATGAATTTGTTTTTAAATCTGTTTATATGCATACATAGATGTATATGGGTCATTGCCTTTAATGTTGAAATATTCCATTCTGAAGCATAATTTTGAATATAACATGCAGTGTTCTCTCTTCTGCTGATGGAATCTCAAAGACTTCTTATTTTCTTCATCTATTTTCAGCATATGTACCTGTCCTTGCAATAACCAGGGACAATGGGGTATAGCTCATCAGTAAGGATCCTACAAGTTTCCACAAAACTAACATTTTGAAAATTTATAGTTTTAGTGGTTTTATGGTCTTACTTAAACAGACAGAGGCTGGCATGTGATTTGTCAATAGATATAATTTCAGAGAATCAGCAAATGGAAATGTCTGACTTCAGAACTGAAGGTTTGGACAATTTATAAGATTGGGGAAGGTAGGTGTTGGCAGAGGATGATAGAATAATTTGTTTATGTAAATTTAATTTTCCTGGATGACTTTCCTATGAACATGCTGGACTCAATGGTTTTAGACTGACAGAATTCAAACTCTGGAACTCAAGAAATGCAGCATGCAGCTGTAAAGCATGCCAAGGATCTTTCTGAAGTATCAGATGAGATAGGCTCTGCTTATAGAAAGAATGCCTAATTTCAGCATATATATGTAAATGTAATTAGTTTATCTTAAACAAAGTTATATTTACCAGCAATTTTATCATCTGCATTTCGATAAACATGTACATTTACTGAAAGTATTTTTGACAAGAGTTTAGCTATTATTGAAATTCAAAAGAGGCATTGTCCAAGTCAAAGCATATTCACTCTAATAAAGCTCTTTCACACTTTAAGCAAATAGCTTGAAACAGTTTCTCTGGCAAAACACTTCTCAGCGTATTTGTTTATGTTGAATAAACACAGTTTTGTCTCTTTTGAGAAATGGTGTTTGTTGAGAATCCCTTTGCCCTTCCCACTGTGTTGTTTAAATATGCTTTTTATTATTTTGTTTCCCCAAAACACATTAACTACAGCAAACAGGTTGAACATGACTTGTCACACACACTCTAATGCAAAGCCTGACAAATGCATACATTGATTGCATAGATTTTAGTGTCTTTCCTTGCAGGCTAGCAAATGCCTCTTTGTTGGCATCTGTAGATACCCAATTGCTTCAAAAATATGGATCACTCCTGTGCAGCTGAGATCTAGCATAATAATGGATCATTAAATATTATGACTATGGACATACCAAATGAATTAAGCCTGGGCAATTATTCCCAGTTCAAAAAACAAAGCTGATACAAACAAAAATCAACACCTAATTAAGATAGAGCAATATATCTAAAACCCAGAAAATGGTCATTGAGTGAGAAGAAACTGTAAGATGTTTCAGAAACAGTATGATGGATAAAGAGTAACAGTCAAATGAAGAAGCAGTAGCAGTCGCTCAAAATGAAAGTTTTGACATTTTATTTAGAAGATGGGATATTTTTGAGAAAAAAGGACAAAAGAGTTTGAAAACAAACTAAACAAAGGTTTTACATAAATCATTCTGCACTGTCAGTAAATGTTTCATGTTTTTTTTTCCAGTGCATTTAAAGAGGCTAAAATATAGCATATTGTGTATGATCATAGCATATAGCTCCTTCATAAAACCACTTCTTTATTAGCTCAGAGAATTTTAAAAGGAAGAGAGTATTAGAGAAAAAAAATCTGGCTCGTAATGCATAATTTTCATAGTTTGCCAGTAGATACAGTCTCCTCCCAGTCTTAGAATATACCTTTTTAGTGATGATTGTGTTAAATTGTTCTTTATGTTTCATTCTATGAAAGTTTAAATACTTACTCCTATGAATAATGAATTTCCATTTCAGTATTTATTACCAACTTAAATGTATTTCAGATTCCTTAAGTGACACAACTGATCTGTATGAGAATTAAAAAAAAATCTCCAGGTATTTTGGTTTACCCATAATATACAAACTAGTAGAGCCTTTAGTGCAAAATTAATGGACCTTTCTTGTCTAGAGCACCTCATTTTCTCTTATGTCGCTGGACCAACAACCATTGTTAATGTTAAAACATTAATTTGCTACAAAATGTCTAGAGCTCTGGCATTTATATTATACCTAATGAGCTCTATCTACGATTCTGTAATGACATGTGACACTCTCACTCAAGGTTGAATGACACTCAGTAAAAAAAGAAAGACTGCCCCCTGTGATAGACATTCTAAAAAACCTACAACAAGCTAGAAAGAAAGAAAAAAACCAGAAATCTTTGAACTGGTACCTTTTTTAACTACTTGGAAATAAAGGCAGGTAAAGATTTAAGGCAGACAGAGAGGTGCAAAACAAGGCCAAAATGCTACTGTAAATTATATTATTTTGACTATGACTATAAAAATGTGTGTAAACCTCCAGTAATATTTGAAATATCCTTGCACTATACAGCAAAAATCTCTGTGAATTTCTGCCTGACTTGATGTCTAAGTGTATATATCTGGTGCTGTTAAGAGTATTCCCCTAATAGGATAGAGTGAGATGCAAAATTTAATAGCTACAGATGATAGGGAAAGAAGTTTTACTATTTCTAGATTCCACGGGATAACTGTTTGGCCTATTTAATTTGAAAAAAGAAAAAGCCAAATAAGCATAATACTTTTGCCCTAAATAAATATCAATCAAATCAAATACTAAATTTCAACCAATACTGTAGCTTAATATTATTGACAAAATATATCAAGGTATCATACTGGGTCTTGTGTTCTCCCATAAGCATACTCTGATCATGTGCAAAAGCAAGCCTCTGTCAATGGAAGATTAAACATACCCAGGAGCTAAGCAAAACAGCAGCAACAAACTGACACACTCAGACAAATGAGCATCCTTCTACTTTTTTCATCTAAGTATTGCAGAAAAAAAAAATAACCAGTGGCAAATACTATACTAAGATATGTTACAACTTTAAATTCTTCTCTTAGAGAAAAGGAAGAAGAGTTCTGGTTCTATACAGAGAAGCCGACCAAAGGACAAAGCCTATTTCAAGACTGTGATCAAGGACACAATAAAATTCCCCTACTATACACCTTTACAGGGTATTAGGAAACTGAGTTTGGGAAATGAAAGGTATAGTTATTGTATCTAAACCAAGATAAATTTGGAATATCCTTTTAAAAATCTTGATCTAATCTCAAAAGGCACTTTTCCACATCTACTTTATCAGGTTGTGAATTTCATCACGGAATCTCAATGTTGGTAATAACAGCCCTATGGCATGTGGAATTAAAGCCTTTGTGTCTACTCATTTGGGGAATTCCAAATAAATATTTCTTTAGTAACATCCATTTTCAACATTCTGAATTTGGAGTCTATAGCATTTAAGCCAAAGGAAATTACTGCACAAATTAGGAGGGAAAATTTTTTTAAGCAACTTTCTGGGAAAAAAAAATTAATGGAGCAGAAAATACAAGTTACAGTTCAGGGGATTAAGGGCAGGAAAATTATCAGCACAATTCACCTATGAGAAAAATAAATATGAATTTATTTTTCTTTTCTGTTTTGCTTTTTTTCTCAATATAGAATTCGCAATGAAATTTATAGACTAGGATTACTTCAGTTCCTACTTAATCCCATTGTAGAAAACAATTGGCTCTATTGAGACCAGAATCAGACATTAAATAGATGCTACCAATCTATCTCATTGTAGGAAACAATTAACTAAATGGACTATTTATACACACAGAGCTCAGCTCATTATGAAGCTGGTTCACATTAAGAACAAACAAAGCTCCTTTAAAATTGCAAAGGACTTTTATCCATTCATTAACAGATGGATGTACAATGCATCACTTATTTGAACTTATA